CAGATAATGCAGTAAACAATAAGGGACGAAAAAGCAAAGAAGACAGTAATCTACATGGAGCATGTAGTTGCCTCCGGACAGAGCTCGGTGTTGCAGCGAATCAGAGTGTGTTGCGTTTTGAGGCCGCAACTTGCCATGCGAATTAGTTTATTGGGCAGGAGCCGCAGGACGGAGCAGCGACCTCCGGTGGACCTCGGACTACTCCGTACGCGCCGTTCACCTTCCGCTTTCCGGCCATATAAAGTGGGGCGTTCCGGAGTGGTGAAATGATGGCGGCAGCAGAAGAAGAAAATACAGCACAGAGCCGCAACCGGTCGCCGCTATGGTCAAACATACACTCATGCTGTAGTGCTGTAGTGCTCGTGAAGTCCGTCCAAAGTAATATTGCAGATTATGGATCGACACGAGTATTCGACCAGCTGGCGGCGTTGATCGACTTCAAGGGGCCTTGGTACTTAAGTACTTAGTACCCAGGTAGTTGTGGACCCCCACTGCAAAGAAACACAGCTCGTCGACTGGTCAAGTCGCACTTGAGGTGCCCAGTCTCCACCAAACTCCTTATAGCCCACTTGACAGCTCAATCTTGACGTCCCAGCCAACTCTTGGTTTCGCTGCGCCACATGTGTGAGCTTCATGCACGACAAACGACAATTCGCGACTCCTTCCCATCGTTCCCAGTCTCTTTCCAACCACGGTTCATGGCGCACAGTCGCTTCCACGTCATGATTAACCGGTGCTTATGAATACGCTTTGTCCTGCTGCTGGTCACGTCCAGCGCGCGTCCACAGCCAGTGTCGTGCGCATTGCTCGCCATCAGGCGCCTCGTCGGCTTGCATGGCGTGCCTATGTTCGCTGGCAGTCTGATGTCGCCAAACAGGACAATGGCAGACGTCCCGGGAGCCTAGCAAGTGAGTGCAGTGATTGTCGGCTATCCGTGTTCCTGGATTCCGACCTTGCTAACCAACATGCAAGTTCCCTCTCAGCCTAGATACAACGAAATCGGCGTGCAACTGCTGAGCTCCCATGTGTTCAGCCAAATATTTCCCGACGGGTGCGAGCCTCCCCCTGAAGACCTTGTGAAGCTGTCCAAAGATCATTTACAACGCCATGACCTGCTTGGAAAGAACACCGACGATTCCAAACCCATCGCGTTTGACCTGCCACAACTAGAGGGACGTACTCTTGATGAACACTTCTACAAACTCGGCTCCGATTGCGCAGAGCCCTACCTTTCATTTGCCAAACAATTCGCCCGGGCCAGTGTTCCTCCAAAGCCTAGAAAATGGGTTCGCCGTAGTGGATGGACCAAGTATTATCCTGATGGAAGAAGCGAACCGGTCGATGTTCCCGACGAGCACATGCTGTGCTTTGATACGGAAGTCATGTGGAAAGAGAGCCCATTTGCTGTCATGGCATGCGCCTCAAGTCCCACAGCCTGGTACGCATGGCTGTCTCCGTGGCTTCTGGGGAAATCAAAAAATGATCGTCAACTTATTCCCCTCGGTGACCCTGCCAAGCAGCGGGTGGTGGTTGGACACAATGTGGGATACGACCGTGCTAGGGTGCTAGAAGAGTACGGCATTGAGCAGTCACGAAATGCTTTCATTGATACAATGTCACTTCACGTTGCCGTCAACGGCATGTGCTCACAACAGAGGCCAACGTGGATGAGGCACAAGAAGAATCGCGAACTCCGGGAACGAGTTGCGAGCCAGACCCCCGATAACGACCTTGCAGAGCTTTTGACCAGTAAAAGTATGCATGATGAAGAGGAGCTCTGGGTAGAACGCAGTTCGGTAAATTCGCTGCGCGATGTCGCCAAATTTCATCTCAATGTGTCCATTGATAAGGCTGTGCGAGACGACTTCGGCGAGCTTGACCGCAAGGGCGTCTTGGCGAAATTAGATGAACTAATGGATTATTGCGCTGCAGATGTGGCCATCACACATCGAGTTTACCAGATTGTATTTCCCAACTTTCTCGAGGTCTGCCCTCATCCAGTCAGCTTCGCGGCCCTACGCCATCTTGCTTCCGTCATTTTACCCGTCAACAAATCGTGGGATGCGTACATTGCGAATGCCGAAGCTACGTACCACAAGCTATCTGATGCCGTCCAGGAACGACTCGTTGGGTTGACCGAGAAGGCCTTGGAAATCAAGAGTGACATAACCAAGTGGCAAAACGATCCCTGGATGAAGCAACTAGACTGGTCAGGACAGGAAGTTCGCATGGTCAAAGGGAAACGCAAGGACGATCCACCACGCCCTGCCGCCCGGCAGAAGAAGCCGGGAATGCCACAATGGTATAAAGATCTTTTCCCAAAGAATGATTCGCCTATCAACATTACAGTCCGCACGCGAATAGCCCCTCTGCTTCTTAGGCTGGCTTGGGATGGCCACCCATTGTTTTGGTCAGACAAGTATGGGTGGACTTTTCGAGTTCCCCGTGACGAATCAGCGAAATACACCGCAAAGCAGATGGTCCAGTGTGCCTTTGACGAAACGGATCTTGCTCTCCGGGATGATAGAGAACATTATTACTTCAAGCTTCCGCACAAGGATGGACCGACAGCCCGATGTGCCAATCCCATGGCCAAAGGTTACCTGCGTTATTTCGAGGCTGGCACACTGTCGTCAGAATACGAGTATGCCAAAGAAGCTCTAGAAATGAATGCTTCATGTTCTTACTGGATAAGCGCAAGAGACCGGATCATGTCTCAAATGGTAGTTTATGACAAAGATATCCCCAACAGACAGGCATCTGGACGACCACGGACCAAGTCGAAGGCAGATTCTTACGGCTTCATCCTGCCCCAAGTAATCCCCATGGGAACGATTACTAGGCGAGCAGTGGAAAACACATGGCTGACGGCCAGCAACGCAAAGAAGAACCGCGTCGGCTCTGAACTAAAGGCCATGGTAAAGGCTCCTAAGGGGTATTGTTTCGTAGGAGCTGATGTCGACTCCGAGGAGCTCTGGATTGCCAGCTTAGTTGGAGATGCGACTTTCAAACTCCATGGTGGCAATGCCATTGGTTTCATGACACTTGAAGGCACAAAAGCAGCAGGCACGGACCTGCACTCACGGACAGCTGGCATCCTAGGTATTACGAGAAACGATGCCAAGGTCTTCAACTACGGACGTATTTACGGGGCTGGCTTGAAGTTTGCGGCTACTCTACTGCGACAGTTTAACCCCAGCCTGTCCGAGAGACAAACCATGGAAGTGGCTTCGAGGCTGTATGCCAATACCAAGGGCACGAAGACGAATCGCAAGGTTATTCATAATAAGCCTTTCTGGAGAGGAGGCACAGAGTCATTTGTCTTCAATAAGCTTGAAGAGTTTGCCGAGCAAGAACGCCCGCGAACCCCAGTTCTCGGGGCTGGAATTACAGAAGCTCTCATGAGCCGCTTTATCAGTAAAGGTGGCTACCTCACGTCGCGAATTAACTGGGCCATCCAATCCTCCGGCGTCGACTATCTGCACCTGCTTATCGTCTCTATGGACTTCCTTATTAGGAGATTCAACATCAGCGCTCGCCTAGCCATTACCGTCCATGATGAGATTCGATATCTTGTCAAAGAACAGGACAAGTACCGCGCCGCCATGGCTCTCCAAGTCGCCAATGTCTGGACACGAGCAATGTTTGCGCAACAGGTTGGCATCAATGACCTACCCCAATCCTGTGCGTACTTTTCCGCAGTGGATATCGACCATGTCCTGCGCAAGGAAGTAGATATGGACTGCATTACGCCAAGTCACCCTACCGCAATCGCGCCTGGCGAAAGCTTAGACATCAGTACGTTACTCGAGAAGGGATCAGAGGCCATGCTAGACCCCGCGGTCGTTCCAGACTCGAAATCCGCACCCCAACCCGGACAATACCAGTATACCCCTCGTGTTCCCGTGATGGAGGCAATGCAGGACACGCCTGGGCATAGCTTGTCTTTCATTAAAGCACAAATCATCGATAGCGACGACGAACTTCAAAATATGGTCAAGGATATGAAGAAGGCGCAAGCTGCAGCAGGTGCTGACAAGGAGAAGCCCATGGCTAAAAGAAGCCTGAAAAAGGTGCTACCGTACCACGCACAGCCTCAACTAATCCCCATGGAAGAGCCAATGTCCGTTTCTGAGGCGCTGCGCACCAAGTATCGAAACGAGCACGATGGGAAGAACAACAAGTGGCCGTGGCCCAGAACTCCCAATAAGAGCCAAAGGACAAGCACGAGGCTTTAGCGTTGTACAATATGTGTGATAGTACCCGGAATCCATATCCGGCTGTTGTATTATGATGTTATTTATGTATGTTTGAATGGTTTGAACATTTTGGGCGGCACGCAGGCGGGGACAAGCGTGGCCGGACAGATTCTTTTCTATGTAGGGGAGTAAGAAGGAAAATGGCGTTTATAACATGCGTTGATATCAGCCTGTAGTCGCTACATAATGAAATAATTATCCAGGTTTCTAAAATCACACACCCGTTGATAGTCAAGACGCGCTAAGGCGAGATCGGCATGGAGGACATCTGGAGGTGTCTCTCAGGTGAAGCTCGCAGAGTCCAGACACTGTCAGTGCGGGGCTGCTAATCGCACTTTAACATTGGAGGGGCAGGCGGGGAAGCAACTCTCATGCCAGATGGTAAGCTGCTCCACGACTCCGTACTGCGTCACACTACTTAGTTCGTCATACGTACAGAGTAGTACCGACGGCAAGTACTCACATGTGCAAGCTCAAGACTGTGTCTCAAGGTGCTGCATAAAGTCATGCAAACCAAACTCCTTCATCACTAATTTGAGCCACCCAGACCTGAGCTGCCCTGCCGTTGATTCCAGGACACTTGAACCCCCTGCAAGACGATCTACTCCCTCACTTGTATTGAGCATTGTCTGCAGCTAATTGCAGCGTCACGCGCCTTCGGACCTCGACCAACTACCCCGCCGTCTGGTACGAAGCTCAGCTTGAGCTGCAGCAAACATTGAAGCTGCATGCACATCCATCATGGCTACCAACGAGCCAACCACCGAGGAGGTCATCCAGCGACTCAAGGAGGCTCGTCCCCCGGCATCCGATAGATTTACATATCTTACCATCATAGACAAGTCCATGTCGCCCGGGATCCTGCCGGCTCTCCACGAAATCCTGGAAGATGTAGAGCTTACTAGTGACATTGGCTGGGACCTTGTTGAAATGCTCATCCATGTCCCCGGAAGCGAGAGCTGTCTAGAGACCATTGCGCGCCTTGGAAACCCTCGAGAAGTCATCCTCAAGGTGTTGCAGGTCATGGAAACGGTGACTGGGGAAGGAGACAACGGCTCGGTAGGGAACCAGTATTTCGTCACTCTTTGCGGTATGCTCGGCATCCTGCACAAGCGACTTCAAGTCAAGACGCCGTCTCGATTTCTGCACACCACACTAGACACTGTATATCGATCATATGACCCAACGAGCGCCGAATCGACTGCCGCTATCATCTCGCTGATGCAATCGCTCTCCGCGCAAAAAAGGCCGCCGCTGCCGTCGCGACAGTCGAGTACGGTGCTCGGAACCGCGCTTCATACCAGCGACGAGACGAAGAGTGCGCCCGATCCAGAGGCGGACAAGTCTGATCTTCCCAATGCTGACGAGCTTGAAATTATGACGCATTTGTTGCGCTGCTTTATTACCTGTGTCATTGAGGCCTACGTCAACTCGAACAAGTTGGAATGGGCCGCGAGGTTACTGGAATATACGTATCCTGAGAGAGTGGTTCCAGGAAGGAAGACGATGATGCAGGCGTTTAACGAGGTGGACGAATTGGGGGCAAAGGATGCATTGGTCGGCCAGCTGGCAGTAAGTTATGGGCTCCAGCGTTTCCCTTGACTGCATGCATTGGTCCTTAACTGGCGTATATAGGCTGTTGCTGGTGACTTGGACTTTGCCAAGATGACCTTTGCCGAGCTTCGGGAGATCCTTCAAGCGCCGATTGTTCGAGATCCACTGGCCATCGAATTTGATCCCGCAAATATCGAGGAGATTAAGATATCAGGAGGTGGGCTGTTATGTGTGATTGCCTATTGGGTTTTTGCAGGCGACGTCTTTGACGCCGACCAGCCTCGACCCGGCATGTACATGTTTCCAGACCATCAACAACTATTGAAGCATTACATCGGAGATGACCCCCAATCGGAGATATTGAACAACCCTGGAACCATGGAAGCGTTGGTCGTGCTCGCAATCTGGCTAGTCGGCCAGAAGAAGCTTGCCCAGGACGGTGCGGCAGATACAAACGCCAAGGACAATTACATGCCGTATCACCACCTTATAACACTCATTTCCGTCTTCCACGCCAACATTCACGTTCGAAATGCCGCTACAGTCGTTGCCGGAGCAGTCCTTCACTCGGACCCTGACGAGGACGATCGCCTCGCCATCCTAGAAGATCTCCTCGAGAACTGCATGTTTGGGTCTCTCCAAGCCTGTGCGATAACCTGGCTCAGAGAAGAAGTCATTTCCGCGCGCAAGGCAAATTCCAAAGGGCGGTTTGGCACTCCGGATTGTTTCGAGTCTATACAATACACGCTTTTCCCTGACCTGACATATCTCAAGGAAGCGGATGTCGAGACATTATTGGAATTCTGGGCAGAAGGCTCCCCGTTCCACCTACAAGCCGCCAACTTTGCTCTGTTCCTATTTGGAAATGAGTACAAGGACCTTGCGCCGGCGGGCATGGCTGCCGCTATTGAACACCGCTATGTGCAACCACTGTTGCATGTCTGTGGGCTGTTGATTGAGGAGATGGCGATTGGGGAGATTGAAAAGTCTGATGACCATAAAAGTACGGTGATGGAATTGGGAATATTAAAGGATATACTTGAGAGGGTACCTTTGCAGTGACGACTTGCGCAAATTATTCAAACAGACGGAACGGTATACGGCATTTGGTCGCGGTGGGTTTGTTGGCCCAGGTATTTTGAACTGGGACTAGTTACTTGACTTGTATGTATGGAGTGAATGGGCGGTGGTTTACGAACATGAAATGCACAATTTATTTTCTTGGTATAGAGTTTACTGCTGTTGCTTGTTGGTGGTGCAAGTTTCTTGGGTGTTCCGAAGTCCTGCGCGCGAGGCCACATTTTCGAGAGCATCGTAGCTACGACCCCCGAGTTGACGGCTGAGCTACGTTAGGCATGCTACCGGTACTCTTATCTGGTAGCTCATAGTGTTCAGAGTCCGCACGCAGCACTCTGGCTGCCTCGCAGGTGTACCGGTCTCCTTGTCGTCTGGACCGCACCCATGGCGGTCAATGAAGGGATGAATCGAACATGAATCGGGTATTGGTATTCTATGGTGGTGGTTCAAGCAATTTCGCAACAGTGCCGTGCGGGTCATAAAAGTTCAACTCCCGCAGCCACCTCGGGAAACGTTGCCTCTTTGCAACAAACTCCTCGTAATTACCGTCTTCTATCCCGGTCGTAGTCCCTGTGTCTACCCCTATCCCTATCCCTATCCCTATCCCTTTCCCTCCTATCTCTATGATGATCTCTGTCCCCATCCCTGTCTCGTTCCCTATGACCATTTCTCTCTCTGTCCCTCTCCCTCTCCCGCTCCCTCTTATAGCTATCTTCTCTGCCTCGTTCTTCCTTTCTTTTATTTTGTTCCCGATTGTACTCGTCCAGCCGGGGCCGGCTCCTCTTTTTCGCGCCGTTCTGGTTCCAGCCGCCTAGATCTTCTACACCCTTCAGCTCCTTCGCGCCAAGGCCGAGCCGGTTCTGCCGCCTTCGCACGTCCTTTGACTTTGGCCCGCGGTGTTCCCCGTCCCATCCCATCCCGCGCAAGAGGGCGGCGCCGAATTCTTCAATGGGCATTGCTTCGTAGTCTTCCAGCGTGGAGGCGGCGCCTGCGGTTGCGGCATCGCGTCTGTACACGTCGTCTTCGGTGGTTATGACTCTTGTTTCTTTCGGTTTGTTGCCTAGCAGTGCGTCGAGGGCCTCGTCGTCTGCCGTCTTGGGTTTGGGTGCTTCCTTGGCCGTTTCTGACGGGGTGTCTTGTGGTTCGGGGGAAGGCTGGTCGTTCTTTTCTTTGATGGTCAGGCCCCATGATAGACCTTTGTCTTGGTCTGCTGGTGCTCTCTCTGCGCTCCCATTCTGGTTGTGCTGGTGTCCTCTGGCTTCCGCGGGTCGATTGTCTCCCTTCTGTGCGCGTATCTCCCCTCTCCAATCTCTATTCGCTTGCCGCTCGATGACGTATTCTCTCTTCACCTCCTCCTTCTTTTTGTGTCGCGTCTCTGCACCATCTGCGCCGAACCCGGTGATGGCTTCGTGGCGTCCGCGACGGTCGTCGTCTGAGTCCGAGTCCGAGTCTGCGCCGAGGGCAGCGTGGGATCGGGGCCGCTTTCCGAGGCTTGATGGTGGTGCTGGACGGGAGGTTTTGTTAGAAGACGGGGTTGAAGATGTTGAGCCGAATTTAATGGCTATTCGACCTTTGGAGGGCTCCGACATGGCGCTGCAAGAATGGGTTGGAGTTTGAGGCTAATGATGAGATTTGGAGATCCAGTCAAGTCAACATTGAAAATGTGGGGCCGCAGGGTCGTGGAGTGGCTTGACAAGGTGCACATGTGGAGCCTTGGACCGGGAAAATTGACAGCGTGAACAGGTTCTGCAACGGGCTTCATTGGTTACATCACTCGAGACTTCGGTTCTCTTTCACATCCTTAATGAGGATCAACGGTTCTAAATAATCGTTGGGACTTCAGACACGATGCATCTGAGTACTCCCATGGAGCTCCATCCTCGCCTACGGAGGCATAATAACAGTTACTTTAACGCCAAACTAAACCGCTAGGACGGCCATGTTTTTAAAAAGACGACTACAGTCCCAGAAGAATGATCCAAAGGCCACGAATTCGATTTGCAGGCCTTGGGCAGGTGTCAACAGCTGTAGAACCTCGAATTTGCTCAAGATTTCTTCAGTTGGATCCTTTCCGCTCATCTCCTCTACTTCACACTCCATACATGTTCTGCTCCTACTTTTCGGCTCATCCTCACAAGGGAGAAAATAAAAGAAACCGAATTCAGATGGGAGAACGCTTCTATCTTGTCGCTCCTCGGGCGGAGTAGAGATTCAAGATGAGTGGTGACATTTCGCAGATTTTTGACGAGTATGGCGAGGCACTCGTACGTCTTCTTGCTGTGCCTAAAATTCCACGAAGGCGATTATTTCTCCCTAAACGGTGCGCCTCATATATGTCGCCTGTGCTATCTGATCCTATGGATCTCACCAATGATTGCAGAGCGATCACGATCAATAATACCAAGAAACGAGAGGCTAATGAATACTCGAGAAACCACAAGAGTGTCGAAATTGGAGTTGATTATGATACGACGATTGCTTACTTCGTGCGTTCGATCACTTTCATCGACCTCCCCACAGAATTACACCTACAAATCATGTGTCACATACACTCTATAGATGATCTTGTATGTCTGAGTCTGACTAGTCGATACTTCTTGGATGTTTGTCAAAAAAAAATATCCCTGAATATTATGCATCACTTCAGGGCCGATGGGCCGGTGAGAACATTGTGTGCGTTGGTGACCAGATTGAACCAGGCGACTTACCCCCAGGTGTATTTTCTCAGAGAGAATTGAACAAAGTCTACCAAGACTTGTTCAATGTATTGGGGGCCACAGAGACAGCAATGATGATGGAATAGACCGAGTACAAGAACGCTCCCTTTGCCCATATGTTCGGCCAACAGCATCTGAGCTACAAAACGACATCCTACTCGCCTGGGAATCGGATCGTGTGGTCAGGTCTTGCCCAGACAGGGCGATACAAAATGAACCAATACTCAACATGAAATGGCATGAAATGCGCGTTCAAGGATCAATTTACTTCCCTGAGGCCCCGCCATTGATCCTCCGAAATCTAACAACTAAGGAGTTTGTTCGCTCCGAGGCTGTTACTTTGAAGCCTTAATACATTCACGCCGTATGTTTGCCAACTATTTGATCGGAGAGACTAAGACTCGCTCAGCGACCTGAAAAGACTCTGCAGAGAGACAGCCCTGCTTTGCTACCTTTGCCGTTCAAGCGAGGCTGCTGAACAAGACATTTTGTAACAATGAATATATGTGCCATTATTGACAGAAATAGTGCGACGTATGCTGCAAAATGTGACCGAAAGACAAATGACGGAGTCAGCCATTCCAGCTGTGGTCAAACCAAGCCAGGAACTGGCCGGTCGGCTTGCAACATTGTCAGCTAAACATCACCTGGAACAATTTCGTGAAACAAAATATGCATGCACAGCAACATATACATGCAGAGGGAATGTGGCGGCCCAGCCGTGTCAAGAAGCGTCGAATATCCAGATGCCATGTCATGCTTGTGCCTGTCCATCTACCGTCTAGATACCTGCGATTCCTTTGAGAAATATTGAAACAACCTCGTATGGGTAGGCCGGAAACTGGTCTAATAGCTGCAAAAGCAACGGTTGCATTGGTGTATGGTTTTCTGTTGTTTATGTGTTTAGTATCAAGCCACACTCCTATGAAAACGTGGCTAGTGTGTGAATTTGCAAATCTTTTCCATCCGTCGTCGTTGCGCTAATCCCGTTTTTAACCTTGTGAGATGAGCACTGACCTCCTTTTTTTTTGCCTCATTTTTTTCGTCTTGGATGTGTCTTGGTTGTTGGCACATGTATGTATGTACATAAGCCCAAAGGACGAGACATGGTTTTATGCGATAAATCGAGCGGGAAAGGGAAAGAGTTTTCCGCTTGTTATTTCACTACAGAGCACTCATTTTGGAAAAAAGTCAGCTCGGTGGTCTTGACAAACGACAACACCGCGATAAAAAAAAAGAAGAAGTGTATTATAAGAAACGTAGGATTGCGTGCAGGGCCGTAATGAACTACTAATAGTACTAGTGGGTGTAACTACAGGCTATTGCTCGAACCCCCGAGCTCATCCTGGGCTGGACAATCAATCCATGACGATTGGAGCGGGCCCCCGGATGCGGTAGTGAAAATTGTGACCATCGACTTCAATGTTGAAGACGGCTGGACAATAACAGGCCAGGCGGCTTACAGTGTTGAGACGGCGCGCGCACTATCCAATCTGTTCAGCCGCCAGTTATCCAAGTACGGAGTACGGAGCACAGTTATGCACGACTCGTGCATCAGGCAAGACAGGCTGGCTGTCTGCATACAGTGCGGGTCCAAGGTCGACGGTGGCTGCCTCCCTCAGGCGCTGGATAGTGGATTCCCGTTCATGGTCATTGAAGTCGCGTCCACGGTTGAACTGGCCCCCGCCGGCCGGCTACTCGCGCTCGTCCGTGTTCATGTCGGGTCCAGTCATAACTACGAAGTACTTAGACCTAGGTACATACAGTATGTAGTCTCTCTCTCTCTCGGACAAATTGACGACCCAGGCCTGTCGTTGATGTCAACATGCTGCAAGAGCCAACGTGGAACACGCGTGCGCCGGACACGCCCTAATAATAGTGCACCGGACTCGACAAGAACTACTGTTACTAGGCTCCCCCGTCCCTCTAGATGCCAGCATTTAAGTTGGTCCGAAGCAGGTCGATAGCTACAAGCTCCGTACTCCGTAGATACCGGACTAGAGTCCAGCCTGAGCCCCTCCCCCTTCTGGGGCTTGAATTGGCCGCCTGCTGCCGCCTGCTGCCCGCCCGCCTGCGCAAGGCATTCAATGTCCATGTCGCTGGCAAAAATTTCCACCACCACTGACCGGGCCCCTCCCCCTAAGATCCCCCCCAGAGGTGAAATCGCCGCCCGACAAATTTCAACGCCCTCTCTCAAGTTGGTGACTCCTCACAAGGACGAAAAAAACAATTCGTCAATACGGCCTCAACCACCACCATTTGCATCGT